AACAAAATGTTTGATAGGTGCATCATCATCATCATCATCGGCACTCTCGGAATCAAAACATTAGGCCAAAACTAAACTATATGAGTTCGACTACAAAATTCCTCCTCCAATTATTTCTGTTTATTGTTAAAATAAATAAGACAATAATATTTGAAAGTTTTGTACACAATTTCTCACTCTAACCTTATGTTGCTCTTACAACTAGGGGTACATATGCATAAAAAAATCCAACTCATATGGTATGTCTTAAAAACAAACTTTTGTATATGCAAATGGAAACAAGAGATTAGTTTTTTTTATGGATGTAAACAAATTCGAAATACAAATTCAAAGCAATCAGGATCGAATATTTACCTTCGAAGAACAACGATGTGCAATCGAAGCGAGGCCGGGATCCGCAAGACCTTTCCCTTATGCGTCCAGCAACGAGTTCGAACAGAGGAGATCCGGCTTCGAACGGAGAAGTAAAGGAGAAGATCCGGCTTCGAACGGAGAAGTCGGGATACAAAATGGTGCCGGGAACGGAGAAGATGTGGCTTCAAACGGAGAAGATCCGGCTTCGACGGGATCGAGAGAAGAAGATCCGGCTTCGAACGGAGAAGCCGAGATGCATAATGGTGACATAATGGTGATGGGTGCGAGGAGATCTGGCTTCGAACGGAGAAGATCCGTTGGGAGAAGATCCGACTTCGACGGGATCGAGAGAAGAAGATCCGGCTTCGAACGACCAAAAGAGGCGAAGCTCTAGGTCACGAGAGATGTCGCGGGAGAGCCGAAGGAGAAAGGCAAAGGCAAGAGGCGAATGAAAAAAGGGCAAGGTCACGGGAGCGATCCAAGGGGTACTGCGTAAATTTTTATCGCGAAACGTAGGCCGCGGGGGTCAGCCCGCCCGCGGTACGCGTGTTTTAGGAATTCAAAAACGCATTTTCAAATAATCTCCCAATAAGTGCTAACCAAACGGTGGGCCCCAAACGGACCCAAAGTCAGATGTGTTGAAAGCTATTCCATTGTGAACATTTGTTATTGTCGTTGACAAAGGGAGGAAATGGGATGTGATATGAATTCTGCTGTTCTTCTATGCTGCTTATCTTATCCCTCTTCTTCCCTGCTGCTTATCTGATTCTTATGCATTTACATATCTAACACTTACCGTGTGTTATTTACATATATACCACCCAAATTTTTCTACGTGTTTTAAATAATATCATCTTTAACTTTTTGAGTACTAGAATGCACCTTTTTCATTTTTCATGAAAGCCTGACGTGTAATTTATACAAAATATGAAGTTTGCCAAAATAGCCATACATAAGCCAAAAAATAGTTCGCTGACAAATGCATGCATAAAGCATATTGTTAATGTTGGCTCAAGCCCAACTTGAGAAAAAATTATTTGATGGAGGAAATTCGTAATCCTACAAATATAAACACTCATGCACACACACGAGCAAATGCATGCAACATGTTTATGAAATTGACTCGATTCAAGTCCAACCTAAGCGGAGTCGACTTTGATAATTGATCGAATGATAGAGTGATATGAGAAAAACTAAAACCCTAGCTACAAGTTTATGATTGGGGACAACAATAAACATGCATGACTACTTAACATATGATAGCTTCTTCTGGGATTAAGAAGCAACATCATGAAGTAGCAAACAAAATCTAATTAAGAAATTAAGGGTCCATTTAGGGCAGCTTATAAGTGCCGGCATTTCACCAGCTTATCGTCGTACCGTTTGGTTCGCGCGTTTCACCAGCTTATCTGAAACTGCGATTGAATTTTTACTTTAAAAACGGTCACATTTTAGAATAATCAATTTATTTTTTAATTAGCAATAAAGCAGTAGCAAATAAGCAAACTTCATACAATATGATCTTGGTGGAATCGAACCACCACCCTCTCAAACTGGGTGGCAAACGTTTGCCACCCAAATTTTGAGCGCTCTTACCATTTTGAGCTTAAAGACCAAGATCCAAGTGTCTACAACAAAAACATAGCTAGGGTTTTTTAAGCAGGAGTAATTTTTATACCAGACATACTGAATAGCAGAAAAAAGAACTGCTTCAATATTAATTATTCATTGAACACTGAATATTTAATTACGCATCTTACTGAACACTGAATAGCAGAAAAAAACGCAAATTAAAAAAGAACTGCTTCAATAGTTAACGCCATAATTATTTATTGAAAACTGAATAGCAGAAAAAATTATGTTAAAAAAATAAAAATAATAACCAATAAAACAGTCATAAAAAGAACAATATTAATAGAAATAAAATATTTTATAGCTATCAGCCTTTTTTCTCAATAGGGTTAAGAAAAGAATTTATCATTGTTTATTTTGATGATTAGACCTTTTTTAGATACATGAATTTCATTTCGTAAAAAATGTACAAAATCAAAAATAATAAATAAGCTGGTAATAATTACCTAAAACTAAATTAGTGCGTGACACCGCGATCCACAAAATCATGGGACTCACCCTTGACTTAGGGAATGGAGAAGGGAAACATAGCATTTCTAGGGGGAGAATTACCTAAAACTATATTTTTTTTAAATTAAGCTGCGTGCGTCGCCTTCAGAATTATTAACCTAAAACTAATTTTTTAAATTAAGCTGCGTGGGACTAAATTAATCAAATTGGTTGTTTTTTTTTTAAAAACTCGTGATATTAAAATTATTTAAGAACTACGATTCATTGTTTGAAATTATACTCTTTAGCAAAAAATAACTACGCATTTATTAGCAATTTTACGACAAATAAGTTGAATAACGTAAACATCGCCTAGGTTTTTAACGTAAAAAAAAACAAAAAAACAAGTAAAAATAAGAATCTTAGATAATTATTCATTTTAAGGAATACGTAGCTTTAACGTAAAATGTAAAGAAATTTTTACTCGTAGGCAACAAGAATTTGAATACAACTTGTTTAAGACTCCACTCGTATTCAAGCAGAATTGTTTAAGAGGCAACAAAAATTTTAAAGGGAAGAGTTAGTCGCGTATTCTTTAATAAGTTAAATCTTAAACAAGTTGCATTCAAGTAGCATTTTCATCGCATTTTCATCTTTATTCGGGAAAGAACAAGAATTTGACAGGGAAACCATTATACGCAGTTACTGCAATTTGCACATTAAATAAATTATGCTATTGGCCCCTTAAAAAAAATATAATACTTTACATAGTAAAAGTATTTTTTGAAAAAACACAATTAATTACACCATTCATTCACCTATCTCTAGAATTTGGTTTTACGCATAAATAAACAAATAGTTGAGTCTGTGCGAATCACACCTCAAAAATAGTAGTGCAAATAACAAGAATACTAGTAGCAGTATATGCTCCACAATTCGAAAATTGCAACAGAAGTACCCAAATTGAAACAATGAAAAATTTACAAATGTCTGAATACAAAAACTAAAAAAATGGTGAAAATAGTAAAAAACAGCAGTTTAAAAAAATACTAAAAATCGCATGATTAAAATTATCCCAAAAACATTCGCTAAAATAACAAATTAAAACAGCATCATGCCGCATGAAATAATTAAGAAAATGCTCCAGAAAAAATAAATAGAATAAACAATTAAAGAATAAAATCAAATTAAAATTAACCAAAAAGATCAATCGATCATATAAAGCTTCAGAACTGAAAATCCCTTCCGCTCCTTATCTGCGAGCATCAACTTCTACCACCCCATGAATAATTTGAGTATGTCCAAGCAGCAGCAGCAGCAGCAGCAACAGCACATCCAACACTCCGGTGCCCTCAGCAGCAGCACTTACCATCTGCTTGAGGAGAAATCTTGCCAAAAAACTACCGACAGGTACTCCATTGAAAAATATAAAAAAAACTATACTTTAGACAGTATTACATATATTATTTGCATGTCAGGAATTGAAACACTATCTTATAATCACATTCCTGTACAACAGATTTAGATTACAAGTTCAAAGAACAACAGCAAAATACACCTCGCCAATACAGCAAAATATATTGGGTCAAAAACACCAGAAATAAATTGCATGAAGTAATTCGATAATGTTTAAATCGTAACTTTTGTTACTGAGCGAAGAAATTCTTCATAGTTCCGTAAGAAGTAATTATTAAATTCATTTAAAAATCTTAATAAAGTTGATTTCAACTTAAATTCCATAATGTTGAAAAAAATTCTTCAATATTTATGCTCTTAAAACTGATTATCTTCTTGAATTTTCGTAGATCTCAACAGATCTTTCGGGCTGCAACAGATCGCAAAAAAACATCTCAAAAATAAAATTACTGTTGGTGTGATGGAGCCGGGATTCATAATTCGCTTAATAGATAGAATGAGTTCGTGATTTAGTACCTTCGGAGAAGAAATTTACGCCATTGAAATGTTTGGCCGATCATTAGAAACCTTTAATTTTTATATAAAACTCTTTGATTAACGGCTGAGATTTGCAGATAGTAGTAACTAAAGCTTGTTTAAATTTACCTCACACGATGTATGTCAGTTGGTTGAGAAGAGAGCATTAGCTGCGAGCTCGTAGTAAGAAGACCAGAGTTGCAGAGAGCATAGCATAACTAAAGAGACGACGCACAAGGGAGAACCCAGGGTTCAAAAACACCCCGTACGATCCCCCCACCCCCCCCACAC